CGCAACCCCCGCAGGGGCCGGGGGTGCCCCTTACAGACACACACCCCCCCCCCCAGGCACCAACCCCCTCATCCAAGCCTCCGACGCTCCTCACCATCCCCCAAAACTGCCTCGTTAGTACGGGGGCACCCCATCCCCTCGCACCCGACCCGGCACCGGCTGCTCACCTCCGTGGCCCCCCCGGGGCCGGTGAGACCATCCCCATCCAGCCATCGGCACCCTCAACACCCACCTGACGCTCCCCCCCCCAGCACCCCGCCCTGATATTTTAGGTTCGAGGCATCACTTGGGGTCCCCGAATCTCCTCCCGGGGTGGGCAGGCCACTTCCCACCCCCATCCCGCTGCTACGGCTGCGGGCAGCAGCATCACCCGAGCCAGACCCCGCAACTTTTTTCCATCCTCCTCCTCCTCCCCGCACCGGCGAGGTGCAAAACCCCCGTTATCCCGGCGCACGCCGGTGGCAGAGGCCTGGCCCGCTCCCCGTGCCCCCCCCCGCCCCCCCCCGGCACGTGGCCGTACCCTTTAATTCTGCATTTCCCCCCCCCCCCCCCCCTACAACGCTGCTCTCCCCCAGCATCGTCCCACCGACGGCCACCGCGGACCCAGCCAGCCCCGTCCCCATCGCCGCCGGCACAAACACCCCAAAAACCAACCGGCTTCGGCTCTGCCAAACCCTGGGAAAGACCAGCCTTCCCGGGGGGGGGCGGGGGGGTCACAGCCACCCCCCCCCAACACCACCATCACAGCCGCATCCCCCAGCCCCGTGGCCCCCTCCCCCCCCCCCCCCCTAAAAGCAGCCGCCCCGGCGCTGGGCTCCCGCATCCCCATCGCCCCGCGGGGACCGGGGCGGGTGGGGGGGGGGGGGTGTCCCAGAGGGGCCGTGGGGTTGGGGGGGTGATGCCAGTGAGGGGGGGGGGGCTGCACCGCACGGCGGCCGGCCCCGGAGTGCAAACCACCCCGGCTTACCTCTGGATCCGGCCCGCGGCGTCGAGCCCCGGCGTGCGCGTGTTCGAGGGATCCACAGAGATTTCAAGAAGGTAAAGATCAGAAACAGACTTTGGTAAGTAACCACACTTTTAGAAAGTAATATATCATTTTTGAAACATATCAGTGCATACTTCTTATATGAAAATATACACAATTGTATTTCATTCTCCAAAAAAGGAACAATTAAAAACAAAAGCAAACTAGCCCAAACACAATATATTAGCTGTTTTTTTTTTTTTTTTTTTTTTTCCTTGTTGTTGTCATCCTTTAAAATTTTTAACGCTACACTTTGTTCAGGTTACACTTTTTTTGTCTTTTTTTTTTTTTGTAAATGTTTTTTTTTTTTTCTTCATGCATTTTACACCTTTATAGCCTTTGAGAATAAATAAGCTCCATTTTGCTTCCACATCTCTAAAAACTGCAGCATTTTAACTATTGTCATTTAAATCGTGCAATTTTTTTTGCAACACCCCTTTTTAAAAAATGGAAAATATATATATATTTTAAAACTAAACCCTATACAACGCAAAAATTCCAAATTAAAAAAAAAAAAAATTATACACAATTGTAACTGTCAACAGTACAGATGAGCACAAGAAATAAAATTAGATCAGAAACATATTTATAGAAGCACAAAGGAGGGTGTTGGTTTCTTAGATTGTCATTCTTCTCGTTGTCTTTTGAAAATTAGGAGGAGTTTACTGGATACTACAGTCTGGGGGGAAATAAAGAATAATGACCCGGACAAAAAAAAATAATAATAAAATAACCCCAAGCCCTCAACAAAACCAAGACCCCCGACAAACCACCCCCAAAACCGTTTCACCGTGCCGGTGGAGCTAATGCCGTATCCGACCCGGGGCGTCCCCGCTTTTCCCACGAGCCGTACTTGCCCGTGGCATCAGCCCAGGGGATCGTCGAGTCCCGCCGCCGCGCTGCTGCGGATCCGCTCCGGCTCGCGCTTTCCCCTCCGGGGAGATCTACACCTGCATCTCTACATAACCCAGAGCGGTTTTATGTCTTGTTTTGCTGTTTTGTTTTTTTTTGTTTTGTTTTGTTTTTTTTTTTTTCCAGGCTCTCAGCTTCAAGGTAGAAGTGTGAACTTGGGAGTCAGGGCATGAAGTTAATGAGCAAAAATGTTTTTTGGTTGGTTGGTTTGCTTGGGTTTTTTTCCCCTCCGATGCTCCAGCGGCGCGGACGGCGTCGAGTGCCGGGGGGGGGGGTGGGGGTCTTCACCGCCTGCTCCCCGCCGGGGTCTCCGGAGCAAGCCGCTCTGCCGGCCCCTCCTGCCGCGCCGCTCCCCAGCGGGGGAGAAACCGTTTGGTTGGGTTTCTTTTCTTTTTGTGAAGAACGAAAAAATAGAAAAACGAGACCGATGAGACGTCGTTAATCCCGCCTAATTTCCAAAGCAAGGCCGTGCAAAGAGCTCAGGTGCGTGTCCGGTGCACCCGGTGTCGCCGGGACGGGGCGGGGGGGGGGTGTCAGCGTGGGCGAGGAGGAGCACGGTCCGTCCGCAGCGTCTCTCCCGCTTCCCGGATGGACAAACGGAGGCGGAGGGAGGGAGATCCGCTTCTGCCGCCGATGCCGCGCCGGCGTTTTGGAGGTGAGATCCGAGCATGTCCCCAGCGCACCGCGGTACCCGCTGGGTACGGCTCGGGGAGGGGGAGACGGGGCCGGGGGGGTGGTGGTGGTGGGTGTTTAACCACACAAAACCTGCCAGGAGCCTTCCTTGGCACCGCGGGGCTTCCATCGCCCGCCCAAAGCCCTCCGGAGCATGGGAACAGGAGAGGGAATTAAAAATTCATCGTTAAAAAAAGAAAAAATAAAATTTAAAACCGTCATTTGGAAAAACTTTTGTGGCAGCGATTATTTTGCGAGATTTTCAGGGGGAAATTTCAGCTGGCCCGTCTCTCGGGGCCTCGTTGCCGCAGGCAGGGGTTTCAGGATAAGGTGCTTGTCCCGGGCTCCGGTGAGATGCCGGTACCCGGGCGAGGCTCGGCGTGAGCCGGCACCGCGGCTCATCAGTAGGTCAAGCCCGGGCTGAGCCTCGGCCACCCCGGTCCCGCCGTTGGGTCTCCACACCCCGACCGATTTCGTTGCTGGGGAGAGGAGGAAGAGTCAGGGTAGACTTTAGCTCAGCTTAACCGGGACATTTTAGCCAGCGGCTCGTGCACCGCTGTGCCCCACCGGGCAGGACGCAGCCACATTTTCCCTCTTTGGCCATCGTTTCTCACAGCTATTCATTTTGACCCAATTTTGGGAAGATTTCCTCTCCTCCTCCACCCGCTTTAAGTTGCCCCCATTTGTTTCATAGTAACAACCAACTTATTTTTTATTTTTTTTTCCAATTACAAACTTTGGGAAAAAAGTTTGGTTGGAAAAAGTTGATAAAAAAAAAAAATCCGTAATTTGCTTCTGGTTTGCCATCACCCCAGTAGGTTTTTATGCAATAAAAAGGCTCCGAAGGAGCTGCTTGGCAAAGGTGGCATCCGGGCAGGTTTTGTGCCGCTTTGCAACCGCGACCCCAGGGCTGTCCCCGCGCAGGCGGTGGCGCAAGGGTGACAAGGTGGCAGGTTGGGACGGGGACGGGCGACCGGCGTCCCGGAGAAGAGCGTCTGCGGGGAGAAAGCCCATCCCTAAAACCTGCACCAGCCAGGAACGGCCCTTTCTCTTCCAAACCCTCAAGCCCTGAGCTGGCTGCTGCATTTTGGGGTCAGGGTGCTGATGTCTGTCCCCAGGAAATTGCCGGAGCAACCGGTAACACAAGGAAAATCCTTGGTTTTCCCTCCTTTTTCCTTCCACTAAATACTCCATCAAGACTTCAGCAGATTTTCCGCACAGCTCATCCACACCTTTTGAGGCCTAGAAACCTTCAGGCAAAATCCCAGAGGATAATTACTTCACTTGCATTTTGCAATAAAAATCATTTCTCCCTACTTCTCTAATTTAAAGCTTTGGCCCATGTGGAATGGGAACGCACTTTTAAAATGCATTTACAACTTTTGTTTGGTAAACCCCGCAATTTTCTTTAAAAGCAGCAATAACGCATCCTTCCTCTTCAACCACGCTGCGCCCAGGAAGAGGCAAGACTTTCCCCTCTGCTTTTGGGCAAGGTTAACTGCCGGTTTAAAATAACCACAGCCAGCAATAGTGGGGTTCCCTTGCCTGCTTTTGTGCACCTACTTTTCAAGCAAACGGGATTAAGCCTTAAAAATTTGCCTCTTACTCCCCCCGACACACCTCTGCGGGATGCCGGCAGCAGGAGATGCGCCCGCATCACACTGAGTGTTGCAGCCGAGCTCTCCGCGCCCAGCCCGGGCGATGCCAGCCTGCCTTCCCAGCCGCTTTAGAAAAACCAGTTTAGGAAAAACGCTTTTTGAAGGAAAACCCTTTTTTTTCAGGAAAACCCTTTTTTTTTTTTTTTCAGGAAAACTGCTGCCTGCCAAAGCCCTTCAACCCTTCTGAGAGCTGGATCGTGTCCGAACCGCCCCTCCCTGCACACGGACCTAGGAGAGCCCAGGCACTGCTCAAAGGTGCATTTTGGGGTGCTCCGTGCCCCGTCTCCCCTCGGAGCCCGTCCTGCCGCAGCCGCTCTTCTCTAGGGATACGGTCCGACCTCCCGGGGAGGGGGGGGGACACACACACCGGTGTCCCCAGTGTCACTGACTGCCGCCCAGCCCACCCTCCCGCGCCGGCTCGCGGGGACGAGCAGCGCCAGGACCTGTTTTTTTTCGGCAAGGACGTGGCTATTTGATTTCCACGTCCCGTGTGTGTGTCCCCCCCCCCCCCCCCCCCCACCTTCCCCACGCGCCCGGTTATTCCCCAGCCTGCGGCCCCCGGCCGAGAAGCGCCGTTATGTACTGCGTGCGTCGCCTGCTGCGCTAGAATGAATGCCTACAAAACCCTAAAGCTATTTCTCAGGCAGTTTATGATCATTTCACCCACCCACCCCACCCCCCCAACCCCCCCCCCACCCCATCCCATCCCCTTCACCCGTTTCGCCCCCCCCCCCCCTCCCTCCCACCCCTCCCGCCCCCTCCCCGCGGCCCCGCTGCGAGCCGGCGGCGCTCCCAGGGACGGCGGGGACCCGTTATGTGACCCAGGTATCCAACCGCATGCGCTTTACGGAGGGGCTCTCCCCCTCGGGCTCGCTGGTGGGTCGCAGGAGGCCCAGGGATGAGCCGAAATCGGGGCGGGCGGGATCGTCCCGCTCGCTGCTGCCTTCGTAGGAGCTGGTGTTGCTGCTGAGGCTGTCGACGGGCGAGCGGCCGGTGGGCTCGTGCCGGGGCTGGTGGGGGAAGGTGCTGAGCGGGGTGGCAGTGTTTCTTTCCCGGTTGGGCGAGACGGGCTCCGACTTGATGCTGATGTTGGGGTTGGTGTTGACAGTCAAAGTGGTGGTGTGGGACAAGTGACTCCCTTGTCTGGGTGTCCGGAAGGCGGGGGGGGGGGATGAGGTTGGGAGAGGAGGAGGAGAGCAGGAGGGGAGGAAGGGGGAGAAACAGATGGAGGAGGAGATAACGGGAAGTCTCTTGTTACTCATCTTTCCAGCAGCCTTTTACCCTCCAATCCACAGAATTCATAACCCGCACACCCCGCGGCTGAATGAATCCAGAATTATGAACCTGGATTAGATTACGCATCTGGATTAGATTATAAATCTGAATTCATAATTACAATTATGAATTATTATGACTCCAAAACTCCTAATCTGCACGCTCACCAGCACACAGCACTGTCAAACCAGGATCAGACCCGGTGGGCAGCATCCCTCCTCCACCAGCACCCGTGACCCAGCCCCGATCCCACCCACGACCCAAACGCACCAACCCCGTCCCACGAACTCCCCTACGGCTCTGCCCCAGCGTGGGCTGCAAAAACCCAGTGCAGGGCTCGGATGGGTGGTTTTGCTCCAAGCTGGGAACCTTTTCAGCCTCTTTACTACAACCCGAAATTGTGTCCAGGCTTTCCGCAGGTCCTGTAGCCCCACTGGTCCAGGCAGCTGCTGGGGAAGCTGCTGCCTGCCCTGCCTGCAAACGGGCTCCAGGCAGCGGAGAAATGCACTGAACTCACTGCGCCAAAGCCTGGGGCATCCATACACCCACCTGGCACTCTGGGCTGGGGATCTGAGAGTCTTCCTCCTAAACTGGCCTTGGGGTAAAGTCACCAAATCCCCCTCTTCAATTCCTGCCTCTTTTTGTCCCATGGTCTTAGTGTGATCGTGGGCAAGTTGCTTAAATCTTTATTTTGACTAAGATCATAGAGTGGTTTTAGTTGGAAGGGACCTTAAAAATCATCTAGTTCCAACCCCCCTGCCCCGGGCAGGGCCCCCTTCCCCCAGCCCAGGGGGCTCCCAGCCCCGTCCAACCTGGCCTTGAACCCTTCCAGGGAGGGGGCAGCCACAGCTGCTCTGGGCACCCTGGGCCAGCGCCTCACCCCCCGCACAGGGAACAATTTCTGCCTTAGATCTCACCTAAATCTGCCCTCTGTCAGCTTGAAACCATCGCCCCTTGTCCCATCCCCACCCCCTGACCCAGAGTCCCTCCCCACCTCTCCTGTCCCCCCTTTAAGCCCTGGGAGGCCGCTCGAAGGGCTCCCCGGAGCCTTCTCTTCTCCAGGCTGAACCCCCCCAACTCTCTCAGCCCGGCCCCCCAGGGGAGCTGCTCCAGCCCCCCCAGCATCTCTGTGGCCTCCTCTGGCCCCGCTCGAGCAGCTCCGGGTCCTTCTGCTGTTGGGGGTCCCCGAGCTGGACCCAGCACTGCCGGGGGAGTATCATCAGAGGGGCAGATACTCTATAAAAGCTCTGTGTGTGGATGCTTTATTCCAGGCTAAAAGCTTCAGAAACACTCCAGAAAACCTGCTCCAATATGCAAGTGCATATATTTTTTTTTTTTTTCCCTGGAGTAAAGCAATTCATTTTCAATATTAAAAGTTACCCTCTTTCTACATTAGTGGGACCACTATTTCCAGACCTCTTATTCTGCAACTACCATCCCATTTAACTCTGGCTCTTGCTGGATCTCAGCTCCCCCACCACGAGTGGAAGCAAGCAATGCTCCTGCTGCAAGAAGCAGCTCTCAGAGAGCATCACCTAGCACGCCGCCACCCCCATCTCATCTGGGGACTCCAGGGTCACTCCTACAATAGTGGTAGGGACAGGACTCCCCAAACTTCAGGAGCTGGCTGGTCTGGCTCCTCCTGCAGCTGTGGGCACGTCTGCTCCTGCCACTGAGAAGCAGAGCGTAAACCCACTGCAATCGCCAGGGCCCCGCCGTGGGAGGTGACAACAACCCAGCGGAGGAGTCACAGCTCGGGTTCTGCAGGTTTGGCACCTCGGAGGAATTCCTCATTTCCCTCTTTCCTTTTCCAACATCAACTGAGCGGCTTCTGGTACCCGTTTCACTTACATTAAATTTCCTAGTGATACAGGAACCAGGTGCTGCTGCTGCTGCTGCTGCTGTTGCTGCTGCTGTTGCTGCTGCTGCTGTTGCTGTTGCTGCTGTTGCTGCTGCTGTTGCTGCTGCTGCTGCTGCTGCTGTTGCTGCTGCTGCTGCTGCTGCTGCTGCTGCTGCCAGGCAGAGATGTTGCCAAGGGACAGCCCACCAGGTGAGCTGAACGCTGGCAGAGAAGACAACTCGGCGCTCGTCAGCTGATAATCTGGAAAAGCAAGAGCCCTTCAGTCATTTCAATGTCAAACCTACTCCCAACGGAACCCTGAGCAGCGCAAGAAGATGGGAGACCCGCTCAAGAGACGCACACCAGCCACAGCTGGGCGAGCATCTGCTGCTGCTGGGGGCTGCAAGGGGCTGCTGGCCACGGGCCACATCTCTTGGAATCACAGAACCACGGGCTGCTTTGGGGGGGGGGAAGGGGCTTTTAAAGCTCAGCTAGTTAACCCCCCGCCACGAGCAGGGGCATCTCCAACTAGCCAAGTTTGCTCAGAGCACTGCCCAACTTGACCTTGAATGTTTCCAGGGAAGGGGCAGCCAAAAACCTGTGCCAAGTGTCTCACCCCCTCCCCGGCACCAAACATCCTCAGATCTAGTTGTCTTCTAGCGTCAAGGCACGAGCTGCTGCCAGGACCCCCCCCCCACCTCCACACCACCCAACACCCACTCGTTACCACTGCCCCCCCGAGAAGCGCAGCAATGGCAAAGGCAGCCCTGCCCCCACGCTGATTCCACTCAGGATGGAGCCCGGCGCGTGAAAAACCCCACGCAGACACACCTTTCCCCTCATCCCCGGGGCAGGGAAACCCCCCGAGGGGGGGCTGCCGAAACACCCTCCCACCACCTCCCCGTGCGTGGTCCTGCCCCACGGGCCGGCCCCACGCCGCGTGTCCACCCCCCCACGCGGCAGCAGGGGGCGCTGCCCACCCGCCGCCGGAGACACGCGGCACCCGCCGCTCCCCCCAAAACGCCCCGGTACCCCCCACGGCCCTGAACTTCGCCCCCCCACCCCCCCATGACCCGGTTTCCCCCCTCCCACACCCCTGTACCCCCCTCACCGCCCTGGTACCACCACCTCCCCCCCCTGAAACAGCCACGTAGCCCCCACCCACGGCTCTGTACCCTCCCACACGACCCGGTTACCCCCCCCAACACCTCAATACCCCCCCACAGCGCTGCACCCCCACCCTCACGCCCTGGTACCTCCCCGCCTACACTTAGATGGGGAAGAGAGGAAGATGCTCTTCCCACACCCAACTCCAGGAGCATCCCAAAACCCAGCCGAGCATCCCCAAAACGGCGGGGAGGGTGTGTGTGTGTGTGGGGGGGGGAGTAATTATTTTACAAAGGGTGTCAAATCCTGTGGCGAGGCAGCCCGTGGGGGCAAAGCAAATGCTCCCCCAGGTGCTGGTGAAACCCTCGGCCGGCGGCGACCCCAGAGCCGCGTCTGCACCCCACAGATCCCCAGCGTTTTATCAGCCGCTCGACCCCCCCACCCCCCCACCCCCCCCTCCCTGCCATCATTTTGGGCGTCTTGTGGTTTCAGTTTTCCCCACCCCGGTGGGGCCAAACCTGCCTGTAGCAGCAGCAGCCGCCGAGGTGGCTGCAAAGGCGCTGAACTGCTGCCAAAGCCGCCGGCCTGATTCGAGGCACACCCTACAGAAAAGTCCCAGCACCCGGTTCTTTGTCCCGCGCAGTTTTTTTTTTTACCCCCCCCAGCACCAGCTCTTCTGGTTTAGGAGCTCCTGCCACCCCCTTCGTAACAACACCCCCTTGTAACGACGATGCCAAGAGCTTGGACCGGAGCGGTCCCATATCTCAAAGCTGCAAACGGTCAGGTTTGACTTCATCAGGCTGCAGAGCAGGCACGGGAAAAGGCACGCGACCCTGGCCAGCGGGAAGCTCAACACAGCCTCACCGGCCTGAAATTGAGACTATCCCCACCCTATTAATAGGTTAGCCCTGAAAAAAAAAAAAAAAAAAAAAGAAGTGGCAACCCCCTCAGGCTTGGAGTTTGCTCAGGGCATCTGCGCCCTGCAGCTATCTAGGCGATGATACCCCCTACCCCCCCCACCCCCCCACCCCGCAGTGTCTCTAGCAAACATCCCAGCCACAGACACTCAAGGCGCCCGAGCGGGAACGCTTCTCTGCCTGTGGTCAGCTGCAGGAGGAAAATAAATACAGAAAGCTGAAATTCAGCCCTGCCCTCCACCCCGTGTGGTAGCAGCACAGGGCTCAATTAAAACCTATTTTGGGGACTTTTCTGTACACAGACTGGCTGGTGGACCACACTGCCGATGATGATTTCCACGCAGGGAGAGGAGCCTACTCGTCACGCACAGGCTTCTTCTGGCCTACACCTACTAATTAGGAGAGGGAGTTCCCAACACGCCTATTCTGGGTTCTTCCAGACAAGCAGCTTTTTACATTTTTGCAAACTTTTCTCTGAGTAAGTGCCAAAGTGAGTTACGCAGGAACCCGGCAAGTGCTTAAAGTCTTCGTGGGGGTTTGACAGCTCGCAGATGAACAACCCCTTTGCTAGGCCAAGCGCGCTGTAACCATCGCCTTGGGCCGGTTTGAACCCCACCAGCCCGACTCTGATGTGCCTACGAGCAGGCTGGTTTGCATTCTTCCCAAACTTTTGGGGGCCTGACGCTCGTTTTCATTAAGCCCCTATTACAACATCACCCAGAGCTCTTGAGAGCCCCGAGATGGGTGTAGCTGTAATTAGCATCCACTTAAAAGCACCTTCATGCTGCCAGCATCGTGCAATGGGCTACAGCATGACAGAATCATGCCCTCACAGCCCTTCTGGATATGACAGTGAGTCCTCATTATTTATATAATGAGTTTCCCCTTGATTTTAATCCTGTGAAACTCTTGGGACTCGATCGTGTCTTGCAGCAGCGAGTTCCACGAGTGATCACGCAGCTGCTCGGCGAGAGCCAGGCACGTGCTTGCAGCGGCACATTTCCCTCTCGTATTAAATTTTCCCTCGGGAAGCTCTTACCCGGGCTGCGCGCTCTTACCTGTGTTGTAGGCTGTGGGCATGGCAGAGAAAGGCAGCCCCTGCGTCAGCAAACTCGGAGTAGCCACAGAAACAACCGGTGTGGTTAAAGAGTGAGTTGCTTGGGAGACACCTAACCGCTGCGTATTCTGCTGGGGAAGCAAACGGAGAGCGAGTTACAACCCAGATGCATTTGACCCTGTCGTCCTTGTGGGTTGTGCCCCTCCCTGCCCCTCCAAATGCTGCCCCCCCCGGGCATGCACCAGCCTTTAAAGCAGCCGAGGCTGATGATGGGGACTGCGGGACTAAGCAGGATGGATCCTCTGGCCATTCCTCACTGCAACAAAGCAAAGCGCAAACCACACCAGTTACAGACAGATAGGACCCTTGTGACATTCATCTGCAGGTCACTTGGCGTTGGCCTTGGGTCACCTTTCTGCCCAGGGCTGGGCTTCACCCGCAAGGACCAGCAACATCCATGCACGCATGGAGGTGGAATAACAGCAGGATGCCTCGGTCCGTATTCCTTCTGATGTAAAAAAGAAGAGTCACTATTTTCCAGCGGATGCATGTGAGGTTTGCTGGGCTACTCGGGCAGTGAGAAAGGAACCAAACAAAACCAGACCGGCTAATGCAGCACAGAGCTGACACATCCTCTTCCCTGCAGCATGGATGCTCAAGAATGAGCCCCTTGCCCCTAAGGCAAGCTGAAGGCGCTGAGCATCGGTCTCGGGATTTTAAAGGCACTCTGGCATCCTTAAACTTAAAGGTCAGTGCTCAGCAACCTGCCGGCTCGGTGCCCTCGTGAGGTTTGGGTGACTCAGGCATTAGCAGGTCCACTGTGGAAAAATTCTGCCCTTGGACCGGTGCATGCCAGCCTCCCCCCGTGGTTTTCCAGGCAGTTACATGGGTGAATCTACAGGTCAGACTCAGCCCTGTTTACAAGGCAGATAATCTGGGCTGTCTCTCCTGATCTGATTTAAATCAGACTCAAGAGGCTTGACTCTAATCTGAAGCACCCAGGCACACGTCACCCTGTGAAGACTGGGGCAGTGCCCAGCTTAAATCACGCCCGGCACGAGGCTGGTTGCGTCCCCAGGGACCTGGTGGGGAGCCTTCCTCCCGGCTCGCTGCGCGGTGCTGAGCGCTCCCGGGGCCTTTGGGGGCCGGGCATCGGACCCTGCGATGGTTCACGGCCACGCAGGACTCTCCTGGGATAAGGCTGGAGGCTAAAATCCCTGCCCTCACCCCCTCCGGAGGGTGACAGCACCCCGGCGTGCTGGATTTGCAGCACCCTGCACCCACATGTTGCCCAGCCCATGGGTCCCTCCCTGCCGCCCCGGGGAAGGCGATTACCAGGGCTCTAATTGCTAAAGCCCTGGGGCTGTAGGAGCAGGTTTTCCTGGCACTTATCCTGCTGGCAACCGCCCTCGGCCATGCCCACTGCCTGCGGGTTAAGGACTCGGCAGAGAAATACCTCCACGGTGGGCAGGATTCAGCCCCGTCCCTCCTCTGCCTGCACCGGACCCTGAGCCAGCCCAGCAGGATGCGACCCGCAGCCCCATCCCTTCCGCCAGCCTTGCACTGGGGCTCTGCCAGCCTTGCACCGGGAGCAGGGCAGCAGCCACCCCCGTTACACCACGAGGCGACGCTGGGATGGCAGACCCTCCTGCGCTGTAGGAAGCACCCCAGTTTTTCATCCCGATTCATGCAGGGTGCCGAGGTGCCCAAGCTGCTCCACCCCCCCCCCCCCCGCCGCCCCGTTGCCATTCACACCACCGCGCGGCTTTGCAAAATGCTCCCGGTCGCAAACTGCCAGTCAGGCTGGTGACAAAACCATGCAGGCATGCTCCCAGGTGTGCCCGCTTGTCGCCGTAGGCTTGGTGAAGGGATCCTGCTCTACCCTGAACATTAGGAGCGTGTAGAGAAATGGGGGGGGGGGGGGGGAACACGGACACACACACGCCTCTCGGAGCTTAAAGCTGCCAGGAGCAAACCCTGAGGATGGGCAGGGGCTGAGCCCGTGGGCCAAGGGGGTTAAGGTCTTGTCGGAGGGGCAGCTGACTCATCCTGCTGCCTGTGTGTAAAGAGGTGGGAGTTGCCATTTAGAGAAGATCTGGTGTGTAGGTTGAGCAATATGGAGAGAGCAAATGTGGGGGGAAGGTTAGCAGAGCAAGGCTTGTGGGGGGGGGGGTGTGGTGGATCTGCACCAGGCAGGATGGATCTGCAGAGCAGGCGAGACGAGGCTCTGCTTTTCCCTTCCAGATCCAGCTGTGCTGTGGTTCCCCGGCCCCCCCTCCCGGATTTCATCACCCTCCACCTCCCCGCTGCCAGCTCGGCTCCATCGAGGACTGTACTTCACTTCAGGCAAAAATCAGCCGGGTTAGCTCAGACTAACAATTAAAACTGTTAATGCCAACCCGGCTGATTTTTGCCTAAAGCAAGCTGCTCCTCTAGCTCGGAGACAGGCAATGCCCTCTGGCAGCGGGAACGGTGACGAGCAGATGGGGAGGCGGGTGGTGACTGTCTTCACTCTGCAGATGGGGAAACTGAGGCACGGAGCTGCTGGGAGGGGGTCATTAAGCAAGAAGGGTTTTGGGGCATGGAGAGCAGCAGAATTCAAGTCTGCCAAAGCCCTGGCCAAGAGCGTCTCCTTGCAGGCTGCGAGAGGTATTGGCTGACTCCTGTGTTTTTGGAGAGCTTTTCCCTGGCTGCGATAGCTGCATCCTACAGCGGCTCTCGCCCTTTCCTCGCTGCGCTGACCTGTCGCCCATCTGCCCTGCACCAGAATAGCAACGGAACAGGGTGAATCATTGCCACAAACAAGGTGGTGTTCACTTTGCTGGCAGGGAAGGGGAAAAAAAAAAAAAAAACCCAAAAAAAAAAACCACCATAAAAATAACACAGAAAACTGCCCCTGTGCACAAAGGAGGTTTAGGGAGCGCACTAGCCAGCCAGTGGATTTACACAGGCTTTAAATAATATCCTTAATATGGGAAGAGCCTGATTTACTCCCTATCTCTCATGTGGTGGCAGTGGGCCAGGTCTTCCCATGCTGCAAACTGCAGTGGCTCCAGCGAAGCCCACGGGGCAGGTCCCTGGGTGGTGACAGTGCCCAGGCTGGCTCTGCACAGCACCAGCCCCAAGAGGGACCCGCGCCGACCTCCCCCGGGGGAACCAGCACCACTTTTTTGGCCTTGGTGGAGAAACAGGCACTTTACAGCTGGTGTCAGCTCCTTTTCCATAGGGAACCTGATTTTCCTAACAGAGCGTTTTTCTCGGGATTGATTTTCCGGGGCAGGACTGGATGTGACATTTGCGCTGGCGCCCGCGTCCCCAACGGAGGGCAAAGGGGCCGGTGCCCACCCCTTACGCGCGCCCCACGCCTTCGCCGAGCCAGGGCAGGGTGCGGGGACCGACGGGACGGGCTGCCCACGTCCCACCCCGCCGCGATGCACGCTCAGCAGGGAACTCACCAGAGCCAAGTGATCCTCCGTCTGCCCGCGGGAGAACAGAGAGAAAACCGAGAGGCACCGTTAACTCGACAGCCCCCGCCAACCGCCGCGCCGCACCCTCGCCTACCACGGGGCACATAGGGGTTACGCCGGCGCCCGGCGCAGGGCTTTGCACCGTGCTGTTTGCAGGCACAGGCTTTGCACCGTGCTGTTTGGCATCCGGCACGGCTGCAAACGGGAACCCAAGCTTTTTTTACCTCGGGTCTCCCCACCGGCGCGGCCCCCGGCCGCTTCCCACCGCTACGGCACCCGCATCGGCTCCGGCGCAAAGTCCGCCCCGCGACCCGTCTGCTGGCAGGGGACACGCTCCCACCCCGCTTTCCTCCCAAACCTCTGCTGGGTGCTCACCAAATGGTGCATTAGCCCCTTCCCGCTCTGCGAGGTGATCACGCGTAAATCCGGCTTGCGGCTGTTGGTGGCGAGCTGCGTGCTGTGGGAGGGCGGTGGCGGGGACTTGGCCGGGATGATCTTGCCCAAGCTGCTGCCGTTGGACACGGGAAGGAGACCCGGCGAGGCTCTGGCACTCACGTAGCCGTTCCCTGCAGGAAAAATGGGGGACAGAGAGGAAGAAGGTGAAAGCACGGCGGTGGCAAACGCACCCACGGCGAGCGGTGCCACAGCGGGGCTCCACGGGTGCTCCTGCCTGGGAGAGCATCCCCCCAGGCTCCCCAAAAACCCTCCTGCACCCCGGGCGGCCTCATCCACAGCCCCTGAGTGGGTACCAGCTGGGGCATCCTCCCCATCAAGACCAGGCAAACTCCTCCCAGGGCAGGAGCAGGGACAGGGACAGGGACAGGGGCAGGCCCTGAGCTCCCAGCGTCTGGGGCAGCTCCCCAACCTGCACAATCATTACTGCAACAACAACCAATAAATATTACAGGTCTGATTTGCAGCAAGGCCTCTTTCTGCTGCTCTGGCAGGGTACTGGGGCCCTAGCAAGGGGGGATAACTACTGTTACGTTCACTTTTAAGGTCTCTTTATGGTACCGGAGCAGCAAAAAGGGGCTGTGGCAGAGCGAGGAATCGGTTCACTGATCCTACTGCCCCTTTGAAGATCTGAGGTTCCCTTCTCCTCCTCCTCCTGCTGCCCCACTTAAGGATTTTATGTGCAAAGAGGGGAAAAAAAAAAAAAAAAAAGAAGAAAGGAAAGGAAGAAAAAAATTTAAAAAGGAAAAGATTTGATGAACATCAGGAAAGGAATAAATTGGATCAGATTACTGTTCTGATGAGGGTTGTTTTTTTTTTTTTTTTTATGAATAGGCCCCAAAGATAGAAAAGCGTTTAGCAATCACCAGGATTCAGCCCTCATATTCATTGCACGTTAGACCGGGAAAAATAGGTCGCTGATTGCATTATTAATCACATCTACCATTGCGCTACATCTGCATTTCAGCAGGCGGCTGGTGGCAGTGACGCCGCAGCCGTGGCGCGTGCTCATGGGGGGACAGAGTGGCAGCCACCGCCGCTCCCAGAGCTGTCCCAGGGCCGGACACATCGGAAACGGGATAAACTGGGCACGGGGGACGGCCACGCGCCCTGGGAGCAGCGGGTCTGATCCCACCGATGCTGCGGGGGATGAGAGATGATGCCTGGGATGCCCGGGGTGGCCGGGCTGCTGCAGGCTTGCAAGTCCCGTATCCGTGTCCCTGTCCGAGGGAGGGGACCGGCTTTCCTGTCCCCGGTGAGGTGGCCTCCCAGACCCAAATCGCCGTGAGCAGCCGTGCATAAGGCATGAGCCTGGCGCATCAGGTCCCGGGTATCTCCGCGCACCCGAGGTGCATAAAATTCCCCGGGGTACCTCCGCGCACCGTGAGCGACATGCATTTTGCTTGCGAGGCTTTTATGAACAACAAAGGTGCATAAAATTCTTCAGGGGGACTTTTGCTACCTGCAGTGCTGGTGACCATGCAAAAGCCGATGGAGGCAAAGCCAAAAGAAATGTTAAAGCCCTTGATACTCTCCTTTCCAAGGCAGCACTGACACGGATGCACGTGCGGCTCTCACGGCCACTGCCACGTTGAGGGATGCCACGCTGCCATGCACACCAGTTGGGGTGTGGGTCAGGGTGGCCCTGGCACTGGCGGGGAGGGGGTTTGGCTCCTAGAACTGCTGCTCACCCCCAAAAGGGGCTTCCCTGGCAGGGGACCTTGGGCACTGCCATCGGAGGAGCCCCCCCCCAGCCTGGATCCGGCCACCCCCTCGAGCTGCAGAAGGGCTGCGCTCCCGCTGGGATTTGGGGATAACCCCAACCTCAAAAAAAAAAAAAAAGGGTCCAAAAGCGGAGCGCTCCGGGCTGCCTCTGCACCACCCTGGTGCGAATCTGAGCCTGGCGGCACCCCGTGCCCTCGCAAAGCCGGGGACAGCCAGGGCACAGCATCCCCCCCCAAGGGGGCTGGCAGGGTGGGAGGCCCCCCCCAGGGTGCAGGCAGGACGGGGGGAGGCAGCCCGCATCGCTGCAGGATCCGACCAGAGGCACCCGGCGGCTGATGACTCAGAGGCAGCAGGTAATCGCTTGGCGCTGCAGAGATTGCAAGAGAGGAGGAGGAAGGAGGAGGAGGAGGAGGAGGAGGAGGAGGAGGAGGAGGGGAAAGAGATGTCCCAGGTACCCAAAAACCTCAACCATGGTGCCAAAGCCAGAGCCATGAGGCCAGAACCTCCCTCAGCCGGCGCGGGGAGCCCCGGGGATGGCAGGGGCCCGGGGACAGCGGGGGTCCGGGGCTGGCCGCGGCCGGGCTGTCCCTGCTCCTCACTCCCGTTTCCTGGAGCGGCGGCAGGAACGCGGGGAATGCTCCGGTGACGTCAATGCTGACATTCACGGGCCCTGCCAAGCTCCGCGCCGTGGCGGCTGCTCCCAAACAGCTGACGTGGGGGCGGCATCGGTGGGGGGGGGGGGAAAAGGGGCCGCGAAGGTGGCTGGGGAGGGGGGGGTGTGTGTGTGTTGCGGCACGATGGCTCCTTCCCTCTCCCTTTGAAGGAGCAGCAAAGCTCTGCGTCGCGCGCTGCGGGGGCCCCGGGGAGACGCCAACCCCACAACCTGCCCTGGCAGGGGTCGCGCCGGGGCGGAATTCCCGCGGCACTGGCATGGGAAAAGGGAAAAGGTTATTCCCGGGAGCGTCCGCCGTGCCGCAGAACCAGCCCCCTCCACGCAACCGCCGGGACCCCGGGGGGCTCCAATTCGATTTTAACCGGGGCCCCGCCGAATTTCACGCTCCTCCTCCGTGCTGTCGGCTGGAACCCCACCGCAAAAAGCTCCCCCCCCAGGGGGTGCCGAGCCAGGCTCCTGGTGCAAAGCTGCCTTCCCCGCGCCGGGGGATGGATGGCATCCACCCCGCTAAGCCCTGGCCCGCAGCCCGCCCTGCCCCAGCCCGCAGCAGCCGTGCCGGTAGCAGCAGCTGCTTCCCAGCAGGACCCGAGGAGAAGGGCGGGGGGGGGGGGGGGGGGGGGGGGGGGGGGCCGTCGGTGGCTTTGGGGCTGTACCTACGCAAGCGTCGGCCCCAAAGACCTCACCCTGCAGACAGCGGAGGCAGACCGCGGGGAAGGAGGTATTATTAGCGCATTTTATAGCTGGGGAGCTAAGCCACAAGGTCTGAGCCTTGTTAGCGCTGAGGCTCTCGCAGTGGAAAGGGACCTTAATGAGCTTTTTTCCTTGCAGTAAAGTTCCTTTATAGGGCCCAAGCGCAACGAGGAATCAGGTGTTAAGTGACTCACCCGAGGTCAGGGGAAGAACTGGTTGCGGCGTGGGGAGCTAAACCCAGAGCTGCCCAAATCAGGGCTCTCAGCGGCTGTCTCGGTCAGCCCCTTGATTTGCAGCTCTCCCAGAGACCCAGGGGAGATGCTGGCCCCCCCCCGGGACACGCACCCCCCTCCTGCCTCAGCCTCTGGGGCCTCCACTGAGACCAGCAGCCCCCAGCAAAGGCCTGGGAGCTCCACGTGCCAAACCCTCCAGCAGCAAAATCTTCCCTAGCGTGGGGAAACTGAGGCAAGGAGTGGCAAAGAGAGACAAGGGCGCAGGTCCCGGCACCCACGCCACGTGCCAAAAGGCAACGGCTCCTCACTTACTTACCCACAGGGCTCGGGCAGGCTCCGTTCGTGTTGTTCAGGTCCCCCCCGAGCATCGCCCCTGCAAAGCAAGTGGAAACACGGGGTCACCGTCCACTCGCAAAGAGGGTGAGCATCCCTCCTTTCGGGGGGGGGGGGGGAGGGCGAGGGGGAGCACGAGGGAGGAAGGCGGAGGAAAATGAGCGGTGTCGCCTTCCCGGGGAGAAAGTCCTGGGCAAAATGAGCAGCATTCCTGGTGATCAGGTTGGGAAACATTATCCAGGCAGATCCGTTTCCTTTGGGAAGGAGCCAGGCGACACAGGAGCCCGCTCCAAAGGAGGCGGCTTGGAAAACACTGGCGGCTATTTTATTCCAAGCCCCCCTTTGGGGTACACGGGGCCGGTGCTGCCGGGGAAGGGAGCCCCAGCAGCAAGACGTGAAACACTATCTCCCCTGTAATGTTCGCACCGAATGGAAACCAGCCCCGCGCGCTGCCAGGACGCTGCTACAATTCGGCCTCCCACGGTCCCAACGCTTGGAAAGCGCCGCCGCTCCCTGCCGTGCCGGGAAAAACCGTACCAGAGGCCTTTTTATCCCCAATAAACTGAACGTTTTGCCTCGCCTGCAAAAAGATTTTTTTTTTTTTTTTTTTTTTTTTTTTTCCCCCTGCCTTGTTATTCAGTTATTTCTGAAAGCCACCTATTCACAGCCCGGGGCTGCCTGGCCACGCCGCGGGCGGTGATTTCGGCCAACAGCCGGCACGGAGGCTCCGGAGCTGCGACCGCAGTCATCCCGGAGCCCTGGGCAGGGGAACGAGGAGCCTCCGATCCCAAACCTCACCTCTAACCACCGCCCAACCCTTCTCACCCCAGACGGGGAAACCTGAGACAGAAACCTTTCTTCCAGCCCCCGGCCCTCAGGTCTGGGCTTGCAGTGAGCCCCTGGAAGCGGGAGGAGTGCTGGAGGGCTGAGCTGCTGCCGTGCAGGGAAGCGCATTTGCTCCCCACGTGGGAGCAGCATCGGGGATGGCGGTGGTCCCCGAAATATCTTACAGCTTGAAAAAGGGCGAGGTGACCCCCAAAATGCAGCAGCCGCAGCACCGCAGCATCCTCCCTTCAAGGGATGGGGATGTAAATCCCGAAGCAGGGACCCCACCGGGATTTGGGGGGCTGTGCCCTTGCTGCAGGATCCCGCTTGTAATGCTGAAGCGGGTTCACCTCCTCAGGTGAGTGATGCCGACCCCAAAAACCCCCTCAGCTGCCCTTCTCCTGCGCCAGCCCCGAGCAGACGGCATCAGCCAGCGCCGAGATACCGACCCAACACTCTGCTGCACATTTGCTTTGGAAACAATGCCGCAGCGCTCTGCTCTCAGCTCGAGTGCATTGCTAAAAAAAAAAAAAAAATAATTAAGGGGGGGAAAAAAAAAAAAAAAAAGCTCTTCTAACATGCAAGGGCCTGGCTCCTATAAACAGGATTTCTTCCATGTCCCAGGCAGCGAGTGAATGAGACGCAGATGGCCGGACTTGGAACACCTCTGCGCTCGCAACCGCGAAATTATCCCCCTTCAAACGAACGGCGAGTGAGCGAGATGGAAACGGCGAGCCTCCAGCGGATTCTGCATTACAACGAAGCCTCTTTTTTTTTTTTTTTTTTTTCCGGCAGAGGGGCCTGCAAGAGGGCAGGGGAGATCCCTGCGGCTGGAGCTATGGCTATCTGTGCCCGAGGAGGGCTCTGCCGCCCAGCCTGGAGTGAGATGTTGCTCTTTGGGACCAGCCCTAGAGCATAAAAACCTGTCTCCCTCAGGTTTGGGGGGCTCATCCTGATATCTGAGTGCTTCGAGCCATCCCCGAGACCGTAAGGGGAGCGCAGTAAGCAAACGAGCTGGCTTTGAACCACGACCCCACTTGCATCCCAGCCCAGGCACCTCTTTCTGCTCGCTCCAACCCAGCCACCCAACCTGCTTCTGGAGGCACCTCCCTGCCCTTTCTCCCCCCTCCGGCCTCTTTGCAAAGCCCCCCCCGGAGCTCTCACAGCCCCGGGGGGACGCAGCCGAGTGCCCACCACCCAGATGTCCAGGCGGTGACAGTCACCGGCTCTTGCCATTTGCAGCCCCGCGCCATTTTTACAGACCATCTGTGACAACCAAAATAGCAGGCAGGGGCTTTCTGCGCGCTATTCTTATTTATGATCGCACTGCAGGAGAGCCGGGCCGTGGTCACACGTCGTCGGCCCCCCCTGCCACTGCAGGGGACACGGGTGACGAGCTCCTCTCCCTCAACCTGCCCTCCGCCACCCGTCACCGGTCCCCACTGGAAATGACTGCTCCCTCCTATCTGTCAGCAGATCCGCATGAGTAATCGCTCAGCGACCAACTGCAACCAGCACAGCCCGACTCAGAAAAGCCCTTTTTAGGCAGCAGTCCCGTGTCACCGGAGTGCCACCGGCGAGCGGGATGCCGGCAGCCACCCCCAAGCCTGGGAACGGCGCCGGGTGACTCATCTCCTTGCGCTGCCCAACCTCGAAACAGATCCCTGCGGGGATCCGGCTCTCGAAAAGACCTTGGTAAGGTGTGTGTGTGGGGGGGGGGGCGCAGGGAATCACCCCCCAGTTTGAGGCCAAGGCACAAACTGGGGGCATCAATCTCTGGCAGGAAGGCAGGAACAAGCACCCACGGGCAAAACCCTTCCAGGCTGCTCTTGCCACCCATGGATGTAGGGACACGTCCTGCCCCTGGGCGGGGGATGGAGGCAGCCGGGGTGTCCCCTGCCCCCAGCCCCCCGGGATGCCCCGTGCACCCCCAGCAAGGGAGGATGAGGAGTAAGGGGTGCGAAGCATGACGGCATCGCTCACCTGCGCTGGCCGGTCTCTGCGGCAGCCCCGGGGACACGGTGTTTCTCTGCAGCGCTGGCTGCTGCGGCGAGAGGAGCCGGGGGTCCGTCAGCGAGGAGGTCACCAGGGACTGGGTCACCAGCGAGCTGCCCGGGTTGCTGAACTGCAGCGTGTTTTGGTTGGTCACCGGCACCGTCACAGGCATGGCGAAGTTCGGAGCGGGCACTGCGGACTGAACAGAGAGCGGGGGGGTAAAGGGGAGCAGGCACGAGCGGGTGAGGAGCAGGGAGGGGTGAAGTTCCTCGCTTTGCAGGCTCTGAGCAAGAGCGGGCCTCATCCTGCATCACAGCAGCAGCAACGCGCCACTGCTGAAAAAGGGGGGACAGTCTGTGTCCCCGTAAACCCCCATTTCACTGCGGTGCTTGCATCAGGGGGATGCCCCCGAGCCCGGACCCCACCAGGGAGGACTGGGAAGAGCGATCGGCTGTCCACCCAGACAGATCAAAGCTTTGCAACCAGTTGCTTTGGTCTCATTTTTAGGCTGTATTTATTTACCCCCCAGTGTTTTCAGGGCAGCGGCGGAGGGGGTGGCTGGAAACACCCCGAAGCCTGAAGGTGGGCAGCAGCATGGTGATCTGCTCCTGCCAGAACCGAGAGCGGCCGAGCTCGGCGCTGCCCTTCATCCCACCGCAGAGGCCAAGCAGCCCGCAGGGCTTTTACGAGGCCATTCCACATCCAGCAGGACGGGAGGAGCCCTCCCAAAGAGCCAGCAGCTGACCACCGCTTCGGGCTGGCACTGCTGCCGGTGACCCAGCACCTGGGAAAGGCTCGTTTTGCTTCGCACCAGCACTGGGGATCCATCCTGGCACCTCCGGGAGCTGCTGGGAAGGAGGAGGAGCTGACCCGGGTGAAGCAGGAGAACTGCTAAAGCCCTATCCTTGCCCACGGGTCGAGGACCAGCTTCACCTACCAGCGTCCCCGCTGGAGCCAGACTCGCCGTGATTATCCTAGCCGTCTGTCTTATGTCACTGATTTGCTCTTCGTTAACAGGAGCAGGCACCTGCTTAGAGGCTTTAGCAAGGGCTTTGCTAAAGTCCCACTTTAATTTGTTCAGGGCTGGAGAGGCCGGATGGGACCGTCACAGGGTTGGAGCTGGGACCCCCCCCCACCCCGCCCCGAGGCTGCACCGGCGAGGGCAGAGGGAGCTGAGCATCTCGCTGCTGCCCTGCGGCCCCCCCTCCAGAAACCTGCTCGTAGATGGGTGGTTTTCTTTTGGGCAAGAGGGGAGGATGGGAGGAAGGAGTGGGACGGTGTCGCTGCTGGAAACCCTCCCCACCAGCCTCTCAAGGGCATCCTGCCCTTCAGAGCTGTCCCGGGGCTGCAGCCAAGCTCAGAGGACGGCGGCTCCGAGCCCGCGCTGCGGCACCGCTCCGAGGGCCACCGGCCCGCCGTTCCAAGGAACCGGGCTCGGCGTTTCCCACACCTTTACAGAGCGCCGGGGAGAGCTGGAATGCAGAGCCCTCCCTCTGCTCGGCCCCGGGAGCTTATTCTGCACGGCTGCAAAACCGGGAGGAGGAAGGTTTTCTTGGGCGCTGCCTGAACACCGAAACGGCGTTGTGTAATAAATCACTGCAAACGCGTCTGTGTGCGTGCCCGTTCCCGGGAAGGGAAAAGCTGACGCCCGTGCATCGCATCTTAAGCAACGCCGTGATAAAGGCTGATACACCAACCGGGGAGCAGAGTTTTGCTTTGAATCCTTATCTATCCCATTGCGCTTTCAAGCAAGCGTCAGGCTGACGCTGCCGCGGCGCGCAGCGAGGTGCACACCCAGGCCACCAGCTAAGTGGTCCCACGTTCCCCCCCTCCCCTCGCCCCAGGGAGGACACAGCTAGGGAAGGCAGCTTGCACATCAGTCCAAAATCCGGGGGAGAAGATGCACACATCAGCCAAACCTCAACGATTTCGGCTTTCGTTAAAAGCGATTACAAACACCAAACGCAGAAGCCACACCGAGGCCTCTCTTTAGCGAACAAGGCTGTTGTTAAGCTTTCCCGGCCGCTGAGGCTGGTTAGTTCTTGTCACACACAAAACCAACCCAGCTGGTTAAAAAGGAAAAGCATCTTCTTCATCCGCACACGCTCCACCTGCATCGCTCGGGCCCTTGCTGCGCAGGGAGGTTTAGTGGGGGAGCCAGATGCTACGCCCTGACTACGAAGCGCCCAGCACCTGAATGCCACCAGCCAAAATGACTTTAAGGCACGGACTGTCCCTTCATGGCACGTCTGGATGCTGCCACCGGCGATTGGACCCTGCTTGGAGCCCTCCCTTTGCAGCAGAAAAATACAGATGCTAAGCAGTCGCTGCTTGCCAAGGTTGTTTTGCACCAAGGAGAAAGCTCTGCTGGTTTTTTGACCTATTTTGCACTGGTGGTGGGGCTTGTGCTAGGAACTGGGGGGGGCACATCCAGCTGGGGCTGTACCCCCACCCCACACAAGCCCTTTTGGGGTAGAAACCAGCCCCTCACTAGTGAAATCTGGCAGAGCCAAGCCTTGCAGGAGCTAATCCCACACTAAACCCACCCCGGAGGGCTGAGCTTGCTGTCTCAGCAACCATCGCCGCCTGCACCCCGTTTTGTTTCAGCTCCCCAGCTCTCCCAGGGCTCAGGGCAGCCACCCCCCTCCCTGAGATGCAGGGGATGGAGGTGCAGATTTTGGGGTCCTTTGGAGGCTCCCAGAGCAACGCAGAGCTCGCCTGCTGAGTCAGCAAAATGAAGAGCTGTGGATTTCATAAGACCTAATCCTCAAGAAAAGCCAGAATTTTAACTTGTGGGGGCTTGCAAAGCACAGAGGGCAGATTAATTTTGGGGAGGAGGGGGGGGGGGGTATGTGTAATTTTTGTGGTGCTGCATCCAGCCCTTGAAAATGAGCCTCCTTTCTGCTCCTGGCAGCATTAATTATGGCTGCAGCGACTCGGGGCTAATCCCTCTGAAGAAGCCTTGCCTGCATCAATAGCCTCTGTTCCCCTGAACTAACAACTAATTTGAAACGTGTCCCCCTCCTCCTCCCATCTTCTGACACAAATCCCTTTCAGCGCTGTCCTGATGCCACCCCGGTGATGGCTCTGGGATCACAGGCTAAAACCTCCCTGGATTTCTGCCACGGCCACCAGCTGCCCTGAGGGCTCGGTGGATCTGGGGGGAATTAATGTGGAATAGCCCAAACCGGGCTGAGTCTTGGAGGAATGTGAAGGGCCGGCATCTGCTGGCAGCTCGCATGAACGCCAGGGTTTTAACCCAGGCAAAAATCCTTCTTTGGGGGGAAAAAAAGGGTGAAAAAGAAGGCCCTAATTCAGCATTTGCAGCAACGGCGAGGAGAACAGCAGTATCCTCCTGTGCTGCCCCACCCGAGCCAAGGAGGCTCAGGAATGCCGGAGCTAATGGGAATGGTTTTCCCAAGGGTTGTTCCTGCTTCTCCGGGTGGGAAACTGGAGGGACCCTCAAGGCCCCTCGTTCATCTCGGCCATCAGACCCGGGGTGCATTCGGGGCTGCGGGCATCGGCTCCCAAGGCACAGCACGGCTCCGAAGCAAAGCCATGCAAAATCCATCCCCCCCCCCCCCCGTCACCTGGAGGCATCCGGGGAGGGGCGAGGGGGGGGGCTGCAGACCACCAGCTACTCACTGCGAGCCGGTAACTCTGCATCATTTTATCAAACTCCTCATCAATCTTTTTATATTTCTCTTCCGTCTGCGGGGTCAACGCAAACACTTCATCCCCTTCCGGGCTCTCGCACTCCCTGTGCTTCTTGTTCAGCGCCTGTTACGTTTTGGGGGGGGGGGGGGGGGGGGGAGGGCAAGGGGTACACGGGAGGGGGTGTTGGGGAGGGATCAGGGGATGAGGTTGGAGGGAAATCGAACAGAAGAAAAACAAAACAAAAAGAACATATAATGAAGGTTTTCCGGCCAAGGGGCAGGTACTTACACCGTATCGCTTGAACAGGATATCCAGATCCTCGCTGCCTTTACGGTATTTATCCTCCATCAAGGGGCTCTGGTCTATCGAGTCATCGCCGTCGGGCTCCGGGCTGTCACAGCCGTTAAAACCTTTCTTTCTTAACGTCTGAAAACACAACCGGGACAGTTTGAGATCTGGGAGTGGGGATGGGGAACACGGGCAGCTGCCTGAGATGGGCAGGTCCCCCCTGAAACATCCCCCGGACCATGAAGACAAGGACTCGCCCTGCCGCAAATTATCACCTTCGCCCCAAGATGCCGTTGACCTCAACGGGGTTAAAGAGTCAGGATCAGGCCCTTGGGTTTCGACACCGGGGTGTCTCTAATTTAGGAATTACAACGTGGGGATGGATGGAGAGAAACTTCTTTGCTTTCAAAGGATCTGTTTACGCCAGAGCTGAATTTGGCCCTGTACCAGCTCAGACGCATTCGTCACCTACAATTACTACGACAAGGAGGGGAAATAAACCTTAATGATATCTGCTCTCCTGCTAAAAATAGGGAAAACCTTCTTGCAAATAGGAATGTAAAACCCAAAATAATAAGGAAAAAAGCCGCTTGCCCCTGGCCAAACCAGGTGGGTGGCATTTACCAAACGCAAAGGTACCACAGCAAGAGCATCGCACGAGGAGGGCACGTGGCACGGTGACAGCCTGGGGGTGCTGGAGACGGCGAGTTCTGCTGGGGTGACATGGCCGGGGCGGGGGGGAGGTTGACAGTGACAACACCCGGGCAGCAAACCCCACGCCAAGACCAGGCTGCACCAGCAGAGACGGCCCCGGGGGCTGCTGCAGAGAGTTAACGATGCGACAGCTCCTCCTTCGTTAACAGGAACCCAGTAATCACACGTTCGGGCTATGCGCAGGGTATGGTGAAAACCCCAAAAGTTCCTCTTTCATGCTCAGTAGCCAATTTGCAGATTGCGTTACACATGCACATTTAATCATCCTATTTTCAAAATACCAAAAGCAATTAGGCGTTATTATGGAACCATCACTTGCCAATTTATTTTTTTTAGAAGTCAAAGCTACAGAATTTCCTGGAAGTCTTGATCTCTTTTCATGCCAAATTCAGCAGGGGAAAAAAAAAAAAAAAAAAAAAAAAAAAAGAGCCTTGACAATTCTCCTCTGTCTTCCTAAACAGTAATAAATATCTCTGTTTTGAGGCCAAAGTATCCTGGAGCGGCTCCTCATCTACCTGCGAGCTCCGGGAAACACGGAGCTCGTGTGGGAATTTTTGCGGGAGCGGAGAAAAACCGCCGACGACTCCGGAAGGGCTGGAAACGCCGCGGGCGGGTTTTGCTCGGCATCGGCGCGGCACCCCGCGCCGCACGGCTCTGCCTCTGCCCCCAGGTCCTGCCTGGTGGACGCTTGCCCTGCAGCCCCCGGGGGGGCTCTTTTCCATCCAGCTGAAGCTTTTCACAATATTTTCAATTCAAACGGCTCCTTCGCGGTCGTCGTTTGGACACTCGCTCCTTCGATTTCATCTGCCGAGGGGAGGAGGCCTCACCCACACCCAGCTCCACCAGCGAAGGATCTGACCCCCCCTTGAGCACGGTGGCATCTGAAGCCCCTTCTGGTGCTACCAATCATTCCTGCTACTTAATAATTACCTAATAATAATTCCTGGTACCCCTAGTTCGTGTTATTTATTATCTCTTTTATAAAGAAAGGTAGTGGGAATCCAAGTCATTGGCATGAACAGGAGGTTCCCAGGGATTTTTCTGCAGGTTTCCAAGTTTTTTTTCCCTATTATTTTGCTATTTTTGTACGTGTCCTTGCTTGTTTTTAGAACGGGCCAAAAAAAGGAATGGGTGCTGCCGGTGGGGAAGGAACAGCTTTGCCTTTTTTTTTTTTTTTTTTTGAGGTGGGGGAAACTGCTTTTTGCAGATTATTTTTCCAAAACCTTTTGTCTCACTGATGCAGCCGAAAGACGGAAAGTTGAGCCTTTCTTTAAAAAAAAAAAAAAAAAAAAAAAAGTTTTTTCCTCCTTCTCTTTCAGAAGCAAAATGGAAAAAGTTGTTCCATGAGCAGTGGAAGGGATGAAGCTGGGTTTCCTTCGGGTGCATGCAAAGGGTGCTGGCTGGGAAGACTCTCCGGTGTCTTACAGGGGGTTGTGCCCACCTCGTAGCAGTTCTCTTTGCAGGGACAGTAGCTGGATCTCTCATCTTTGCCCTTCCACTTCTGGCCGGGAAATGTGATGGTAATCCCTTGCATCCCTGGAAGTTCTTCTCCTCTACCTGCCAGCGGGATCAGGAGTCGGGGCGGGGCGGGTGGATGAGCAACCTCCGTTCCCCAGAACCTTGAATTTTCAAGAAGTTTCAGCCAAGCAACATCCTTCTCCTTTCCACAATCTGCAGCAACGAAGCCTCCTGGGAGGTTTTAAGCAGCTTCCAGCTCCCCCAGCTCTGCCCCATATTTACAGCCCAAAGCAAGCGCAGGGAAAATGGGCAGATGCTGCTGGCCGTGGCATTTTGCCCTTTCTAAGTCCGCATGAAATCATCCTGGGGGTTGTTCCCTCAACAACTCTGTCGAGGAAAGCAAAGAAACGGGGTGAACACAGCTCTGTTCACCCACACCAAGCGACTCCCCTCCGAGCAGCTCACAGCACTGCCCCTCTCTGCATTTCCCAAGGTCTTTCTCCTCTGTGGGTCTAATATATTTGGTATCTAATATAGCTTCAACTTAGACAGCAGCTGTTACCTTGGTTTCTTCCCTCTTCCTGGACACTAACTTCATAAAATTAGAGCCACAGCGGCACGGCTCACAGCAATCTGCTGCTCAGAAAGAGGCTTGGGACAACAAAATGCCACTTCCAGCCATACGAGCATCGGCTGCTGGTTTTTTCATTTTTTGGACAAAAAAGTGTGCATCCCACATTTTCTGCTTTTTGACAAGGTGATGTAAAAGGAAAACAATCCTGCTGGAGCGAGAATCAAACTCAAAGATTCCTGTTTTCAGGATCTGTAGAAAAGAGATTTCCTTCTCGTTCCTCATTTCCTTCTCCAGGGGAAGTGCAGAATATGCAAAGAGGCACAAAACCTTTTTGTCACTGGGTTGCATCCAGTGGAACAGGACCATTTTTCATATAAAGTAGATTTAAAATCAATTCTTGCACAGCAGAAAATTGTCAAAGGAGAAAACCAGGGTGAGAACTTCACATGGTTAAAAAAAAAAAAAAAAAAAAGGGCAAAAAAAAAAGCTCATCATTGGCCCGTCTCCCTGCTGCCCCCAGGCCCCCCCACTCTGTCAGGAGTCCCCCCGTGGTAAGACCTGCTGCAAGACCCGCTTTTCCAGGCAGTGCTCCCGCTCCCATGATCCCAGCTCATGCCAGAGCAAATTTCCAACCCAAAGAGGGTGAGAGAGCAGCAGGAAACGCAGAACACGTGAGAGGAAACGATGCTCGACCAGGATGCGGTCGACTTCCCTTAGAGGAGGGAGACTCAACCCCCCTCCCCAGGCTTTGGGGAAGTCTGGATGAGGATGAGAGAACGAGGATGAAGACGCGGCACCGGCAGCTGCCCTTGCACTTCGCTGCCTCTCCAGCACCCTGCAAAATGCCTGATTTTATGCACCCTGGGGAAAGACAACCCCAGGAAGGAGAATTAGGGAACAATCAGCCCTCCTGGGTCATGCAGCCAAGGAAAGGAAAGAAATTGCTGTGTGACTTTAAGTGGCTCTGGAGCGTCCCCGTGCCCAGCCAGCGCTGCTCATGGCCAAGTCCCTTATCAAAAACTGGCACGTCACCCGGGGCCGTGAGGAAACGAGAAGCGACAGCGAGGAGCAAAGCCGGCGTGATCCCAGGCCGGGCACGCACGTGGCACCCAGCGTGCCTGTCTGGGGGCCTCAGCTGTCCCCCGCCTGATTAAGGAAACCCCCCTCTCTGCATTAAGAGAGATTTGCTCAGACTTAAAAGCTTGCAATGGCCAGGACTCTGCCGGGCACGGAGCGAGCCACGGGGGCTGCGTGGCTGAATCCCACTGCCGGACGGCCGCTGCCGTCCCCGTGCCTGAAACGTGGAGGGGCCCCCCCAGGGGATGGTCCCCAAAAGGCAGTCGGGGTGATGAACCCCTCTTGAACCAGGGCTGGGTGCTTTCATCCCAGAGCAGCTCTGCCTCTCGCTAAATATCCAGGGGGATAAACCCCTCAAGGGCATCCCCGTGCAGCACGTGATGGGGTGCTCCCCATGCCCCCCACAGGCTGCACCTCCCCAGGGCCAAAAAAATAAGGGGATCTCATGTTTACTGTTGTTTTAAAACATAATTTGAACAAAACAACCTGTACCGCCCGGAGTTGGTAGTACCAGCACCCTTGTCCTCAGGAGCCCCGCAGCCCAGGTGAAAGAGGAGACCCTGGCTCAGCCGAGCCTCCGGAGCCGCCGCTCGCTCCCCCTCTGCTAAAAAAGGAAATCAAGAGGTTTCTGCCTCAATTCATCCAGGTCCTGGTTGCTCCTCGTCCTTTCTGAGATGCTGCCAGAGCCATTCAGGGTTGCATCCCTCCAGCAGAAAGGGGCCACTGGTGTTACAGGGAAGGAAGATGTGCAAGCAGCAGCCCCTTAAAATCCACTTGAAATCATATTTGGTAGCAAATTCAGTCTTACGAATGCTTGATGCTGGGGAAGCTTTGAGGATGCAAAGATACTCTTGGAGGAGTCACGTTCAACTGGGAGCCACCAAGAAAAGTGAGATAAAGTGGGTCCGTGCGTGGTGGGGACAAAGCTGGGCTGGTGGGACCTGAGCTGAGCGAGGGGAAGTGGCTAGGGAGGAGACGGAAACCTGCACCAGGAGCAGGAATGGGCTCCCAGGGGGAGGAATTTGGGAGAAGAAACAGTAAAAATCTTAGAGCAGCCCTAACCCTGCTCCAAGACGAGATGGGGGTGGGGAAAGATGCTCCAGCGGCCTCAAAACCCGCCAGAGCCCCAGCAGGTTTCGCTCTGAGGCAGCTCTGCCGGCAAGACGTGCCGAGCCCGGCGTGTTTGGGCTCTTTTTCTTGCCATCCACCAATATCCTTCCGCTCCTGATGCTCCTCTCCTCGGCTTTGGATGCAGCTCCAGCTTTTCATGTGGTGCAAACACAGTATTTCTTTGGGTGCCAAGGACTGTGTGTAACTTGTCTGCTTGGGAGTGTTTGCATCTTGGACCATAAGGGAACGGAGAACGCTGCCCAAAATGTTTACGGTATTTTTAGGCCAAGACAAATCTGTTCGACGCTGCGAGCGCCGCAGTCTGAGCATCCCGGAGAGGCTGGGTGAGGCCGTGCTGACTAGCACAGCAGGGAACCACGCCTGCAAAACCCCGGCATTTTCACGGTAGACAGGCACTACCTGGCTCAAACAGGCCAAAAAAGACATTTTGGAAGCATTTCTAAGGTCCATACGCAACCGTGCGCTGGCAGAAGAGTCTCCACACCCCGGCGAGGGCAGGCAGGTGCTGCTGGATATTTGGCTACGGCTCGATGTGGCGGCACATCAGCGGGAACTGGGTGGACGATGAGGTGAAAACCTCAAGTCCAAACCTCTCAGAAAGACACATTTAATGGAGAATAAAAAAAATAAATTAAAAAAAAAAAAAAGGCAAGATTCAGGAGGTAGGTTGTTGGGTTTTTTTTTTTTCCTTCTCCATGAAATCAAAGCCTGAGCATGCTGCCCAAGATGCACGGAAGGGATTCAAAGGCAGGAGCGGCACAGCCCGAGCGGCAGGAGGAGCCGATTCCTCCGGCAGCGCTTTGAAGCGGCGAAGCCTCGTGCTGCGCGAGGTCCGAGCAGAGCGGCTGCCTCCGACCCTCCCAGGGCCCCCCCGCTCCGCTCGCTCACTAACGGCTCCGCGGGCGTTCATTTATGCCCGCCTGTAATGTCAATAATTGCCCAGCCAAGCTTTTCGTTTGCCTGCGTTTGTTTGCCCAGGGGTAGAGGCAGCTGCCCACACGCTGAAAAGCCACAACCGAGTGGCTCCCGTCTTCCCGGGGCAGAGGATGCGACCGATGGCTGAGATGCCCCCGGCACCTTCCTGCGAGCCAAACGCCCCGTGTTCCAGCCCAGAGATGCTCTGCCAGCGCCAGGGACGAGGCCAAAGCGGTGGAGAGGGCCATCGCGGAGTCACCGACAGCACGTGGTGGCCGAGCATCTCCTGCGATGCTGGTTGGGACACGGTGCCCCTGGCAGCGCTGGTGTTGGTCAGACCGGACTCGCCATCCTCAAAACCCAGCCAGGCAAGCCTTGAGCAACCCCATCTACCCGTGAGGTTGGCCGTGCTTCGAGCAGGGGTTGGGCCGGAGCCACCCAAAGGTCCTTCCCAACCTGAATGACTTCTGATCTAGCCGCTGGTTCCCTCTCACAACCCCACTGTGCGCGTCTGAAACAACGGCCAGGGGCGATGTCACCAGCTGCACCAAGGCACCCCTGTGCAGCAGCCCCAGGAGATGCTTCCAAAACCATCCCATGGTTTGCCTGGACCACGGGCAAGTCCCACGAAGCAAACCTGCCCCTCAATTTTTCGGCAGTAGATCAACACATAACTCAAGACAGCTTCAAGCTCTACCACCCAGAACCGAGTATTTTTGTCGGCTGGACCAAAAAGGTGCAAAACCAGGCCGGCACTGAGTGTTGGAGATCTGCTCGCTCCCATCCCCGCCCTGCACCGACCTCCCGCATCGGCTGCGGTGCCAGACCCGGCCCTGGCTCCACCACAACGGCAAAGCCGGGGAGAGGACGGGCGGCCTCACCTCGATGATGTCCGCGTTGGTCCGGCTCTCGTGGGGCTCGTTGTACTCGGTGTACTTGAGCAGCACCTTGTCCATGTCGGTGCTGGCATACTGGAACAGCTTGTTGGAGTGGTTGAAGATGATCAGGGCAATCTCGCAGTCGCACAGGACGCTCAGCTCGTAGGCTTTCTTCATCAAGCCGAACTTACGCTTGGTGAAGGTCACCTGAAAGCATGGAGAGACGTGGTCAGAAGCCGTGTCCACGCTGCCACAGGCCTGACACCGCCCGGAGAACACTGGGGTGACCACTGGAGGAAGAGCAAAAGGAAAGTGGGGGCAGAGTCTGTCCTCAATTTCCCCAGCTGGACAACCACCCCAAGCTCTCCTCTCTCACCTCCCTCTTCCAACTGGTTCATACCGTTGCCTATTTTAGGATCCTCCAAAGGCAGACACTTCACAAGCACAAAGATGATTATCAGTGCTGGAAATCACATATTGCCAAATCAAGAGAAAATAAATTTCAGCAAAATCCCCAGCAGAGCTACCATCTGTCCGGGGGCTGCGGGTTGCTGTTTTTTTTTTTTTTAAAGTCGAATATTCAAGCAGCAGAGATCTCGTCCTCGCTCGCTGCAGTAGCACAGCAAGCGCCCAACCCCGGGAGCCGCAGAGCCGGGGGGCTCAGCCACCCCGAAGCAGGTTGGGGGGCTGCTCCACACCACTCACCCACCCCACCCCACCCCTGACCCGCTCTCCTGATTCCCCTTTCTCTTGGGAGGCTGCGCTTCCCCAAAGGCACCCTGGGCCCCCCGCACCGGGTGCTGCCGCCCTCTTGCTGTCCCCATCACCTCGTTGGGGCAATTTTTCCGCCTGCCTACCCGGGGTCACCGCGCTGTGCCCGCGTCCCCTGTCCCCCCAGCCTGCCCTGCCTCAAGCTGTCATTAGAGCTGTCACCTAACGAGGCATCTTTTGCAAGACCGATCCTTGCGAGCTGGCTGAGGGACGGGGACGGAGCTGGATGCGGGCTCCAAAACCCACTCAGGATGCCAGGGAGACGTTGGGCTGCATTTCCCAGCCCACGCTCAGCTCTCATCATGATGCTCCCAACAGGACCCAGCTGGTGGGGAGGGAGCTGGTTTGGGGGTCCCCATCCAGGGTGCAGCGCAGCCAGGAGCCAAAAGTCCCTCACGCCCCCCCCCAACTGAACAGAAAAGGCAAAGTAAAAAAAGCAAAGGAAAATAAAAGGCACTGCTTTGCTTTAAGTATTGTTCTCAGGGGTGAAGCAGCAGCCCGGGGAAGGGCTGGAGATGAGCTGAGGTGCCCTTGGGTGCTGAGAGCTGCTCCCTCGCCGTGCGCGTGCAAGGGAGGGCTCGACCCCACTTAGGGCCTCCGCCACGGCATCGATTTTGCAGCTGAATGGCTTTAATTTGCAGCGTTGAGGGAGGAGAGTGAAGGAGGCTGGTTGCCTTCGCTCAGCTCGAGTCAGCGGGTGTTACAGTCGCGATCCAGAGTTTAACCTGGAGCTTTACCCCGTCCGCACCGGCGGGGAGGAGCATTGCTGCTGCGATGCCACCGGCAGCACCCAGCACGCACCCACCGGGGTCCTGCACCCAGTGCTGAGCATCCCTCGAGACGGAGCCGCAAACCCCCCCCCCCCCCCCCGTGCCCTGGGAGGGCAGAGCAGGGGCAGCGCTGGGTGTGCACGGTGCAGGGGGCTGCCCATCCCTCCCCGCCATCTCCCAGAGATGATTAAGCAGTAACAGAGATTCGGTTCTAATCACCTCATCCCCGGGGAAGGGCAGGGCTGGCACCGGGCAGGGCTCACGTTGCCAGCATCCACCCCAGGTCCAGCACACCATGACTCAAATTAAATTACTGGAGGGCCAGGCACTGGTGTCATCAGCAATTCCCGCCTCCCCGGCGGCAGCCTGGACCTCTCAGCCACCCAAAACCTGGCTGCTCCCAGGGCCAAGACCAAGCATCACACCGCAGCCGGTGCCGCACCGTGTGACTTCAGGTGGGGACTCAGCAGCGGTTTTGTCCCACAGCCTGCGCCGGCACAGGCACTAAAACCCACCCAGGGCTCCCCGGCGCCTTGTCAAGCAGCGTTTCTGGTCTCACATCCCTGCTAGAGACCGGCTGATCCGCCGCAGCCCGGCCTGGCGTGCCTCGGCCCCGCGGCTCTGACTCACGCTCGAAGCAGCCCGAGGAGCCCTCGAGAGGAAAACACACGGCGTCTCCGCCAAGACACAGGGAACAGCCGAGGGCGGTTGTTTCTGCAGGCGCCGGTGCTGGGGACACCTCGCCAAAAAAACACCTTGCTGGGCTCCCCGAGCCCGCTCGGGCACCGAGGTCGGAGGCAACGGCGTGAGGCCGAGGTGTGCGAGCGAGAGGGCAGCTCTTGGCCGCGGTTTGGGTATTGCCCTTGAGCAATGAAGGAGAGCATGGGGTCACCTGCCCCAAAATCAACCACCAACCTGAGCAGAGCCAAGCAGAAAGAACCCAAAGCACCAAATCATCCCTCTACGGATGACGGGATATTCCCTCTGCAGGCAGAGACGGGGTGGATGGGCATCCCTCTGTCTGGGCACTCCTGCTTCTTGCAGAGAAAAGCAAACATTTGCCATTTAGCCAGCCCCGTTGCACAAAGGCATCAGTTGACACTGCCTTGAGCATCCCACCCCGTGACCAGGGACAGAAACCCCAAACCTTCCCCTACCGCCGTGCACGAGTCTCATCTAGAAGAATTAACCTTCTAAGTCTAAGAGGGTAATCAAATCTCATGCTTCAGGGCATAAGCCGATCACCAAAGGGGTCAGGAAGGAATTACTGCCCCACACTAGCAGGGGATTTTTGCCTTTCCCCTGATGCAGACCATATTGGCCGTTGCCAGAGTCAGCAGGCTGGCCCTGAAGGACTGATGGTCTGATCCGTTATGGCAAATCCTCTCCAGTAATTCCTCTAATGACATTAGTGACTCTTACTTGCTCTCCCCCTCCCCTGGTTTTGGCTTCTGCTGTAATTCTGGTCTCCTCCGCCCAGGCTCGTGGCCCACGCACCCACGGGAGGCAAGGCCCGGGGCGCGATGCCGGAGGTTGGCTGCAAGATGCGTGGGAAGAGCTTCACCTCGCAGCGAAGGCTTCGGAGAGCCCCTACTCAACCCTAACTCTTCCCGAGGTTCACAACGCCTCGGCGGCCCCAAACCACCGTTACTGATAACCTCCACGCGCGGAGCGAGCGGAAACGCGGGCGCTGAGAGCCGCTCTGCCCCCGCCTCCTTGCACGACCACCCCGGCATCCCTCCTTCCCCAGAGCATCCACGCACGATTCCCATTCCTCACCCCTCTCCCTCCCCCGACGCAGGCAGTGCCGCGGGAGCCAGCCGGGTGCCGGCACACGCCAAGGACGGTGCAAGAGCAACATTGCCGGGAGCAACGCCACGGCTGGAAACCCCCACGTGTAATTCAGCGGTGCCAGGCTGCTCAGCTCCTGGGGTGCAGCACGGGAGACCCAAGCTGTGCCCCCACACCAAGCCTTGGGGTAGAGGGGCTGCTGGAGAGGCAGGGATGGGCTGAGGACGCTCCCAGACCCCGGGTTTAAGCCACAGCTTAGCCGATGCGTGCGTGGGTGCTTCTCACCTCTGATCTGCAACAACGGCAGGAGAGGAAGGGAAGGGGAATGAGATAAAGCAAGACGGGGCATTTTCTGAGCTCAGGGAGCAGATCCTGGCATTGCACAAGCCTAGTGCAAAGCAGGAGGGTTATCACCCCGCTTTCACAGCGGTGATCGATGCCCCAGCCCCACGCAGCTCCCGCCGCGGTGGACAGAGCAGATCAGCAACACGCTGCCGGGAGCAGCCGCTCGTCACGAGATGTCCTCTCTTCTTGGCGTGTCCTTGTTTCCCAAAGAAAGGGAGCAGCAAAAATAATTGATTGCAAAGCCTGCGCTGATGACCAATTAAACAGCTGCTGCTTCGCTGACACCCGACTTAAGCAGGGCTGGGTTTTCGGAGAAGCAAAGCGATACGTGCCGCGCTCGCTCCCGCGCTGGGGTTTGGAAGAACCGGCCCAGGCAGGGACGCAGCTGCTGTCAAGGGAAAACCAACATCCCCCCAGACCCGGGAGCTCTGGGGACAACACCTGACATCAGAGACGCGCTAAAACCACCCCTATATCCCACCGGGGCTTCACTCGGCATCTCCAGCCCTCCTCGGCCAAACCCTGCACCAAGGAGCAGCTCAACGCCCCCCAAAAACGCCTCCCACCGCCTTGGCTTCTGCCTTTGGCAGGGAAATGCCTCTTTCCTTTCCCGAAGGCTTATGCAGCAGGACTGGGCTGTGCCATCAACCTCCAGCATTACCAAATATTTTCCGTTCATTTGAACTTCTAATGGGGCTCCAATAGCTGCGAATCCCTCTCTCCCCTACGCAACGCGCAGCAGCACTGCCCCATAAAACACACTCCAGCTTCCTTAATAACCCCAAACGCCCCATTTACTGCTAATTATGGAAATAAACAGTGCCATGAGCAACTGGGACATTATCAAAAAACATTTTATGCCCATCCCATCCCCCAGCCACCAAATAAAGCTGTAATGAAGAAAACCTGCAATTTTCTATTGTTTTGCTGTGGAGCAATAAACCAGTTCATCCAATTCTGTGTATCTGTCACTTTTTAAGCATCAGGAATATATATACACATACTTTTTTTCTGGAATAAAAGCAGTAGAAAAGAAGAGTGGCAGGCCACGCTGGTGGCTGGGCTAAAGGCAGAGGATCTGCTGAGCCAAACTCAAGGGCCGCAGGAAGCCACGGAGCAAAAGAACCCGCCTGAAAGTCTTGTGGTTACGGGCAAATACATCGATGGAGTCATCGCAGAGCAAACCTGGTCTGGCAAAGAGCTGCCACTCAGCCAGTCCAGTTCAAGGAACACATAAGTTAGGGAAAAAAAAAATCTGTTGGGTTTTTTTTCTTCCTCTTCTAAGATACATGCATGTATTTCTACACACAGGCACATGCATGCATGCCTAAGGCTTGGCTTCAACAGAGCACAAGGGAAAAAAAGCCTGGACCCATATAAGTTTTCAATTGAAAGAAAAAAAAAAAAAAAAAAAGAATAATTTGGGTTGTTTGCGTTCAGAAAAATGGATACTTGTTGTGGCTGTTTTTTATTGGAAAAACCTCACGGAAAATGTCAACTGAAATATATTTTCTGCAAGACCAAAATAAAAAAAAAAAAAAAAAAAAAAAGAAAAAAAAAGGAAGCTAACTGGAGAAGATACTTTCTTCTGGAAAAGCGCTTAGATGGAAATGGTGCGAGGAGCTCCAAGACGAGGAGCACCGCCTGGGTGGGAGCCCCCGCCACGGCAAAATGGGGCCGTTTGCCTGATTCTGGGTATCCGCCTGAATCCGGTCCCGGTGCCAAGTTTCACCCATCTGCTTATTTTATGGCTTGGGAGAGAAAAGCACCGGTCGGCCCAAAATGGGATGGAAATGGGTTGTTTTGAACCCTTAAAATACCCGATGGGAGGAAAGCGGGTGAGGAGGGAGCGGGGAGGTGAAGGGAAAGCACCGACCTGCCGATTGCGCTCGTCCGTGATCCGCTGGATCTGGATCTTTTTTCTCCCCATCTTGTCCGGAAATCCTCACCGCACCCGGGACGACTTCGGTTCAGGGGAGGGGAAAAGTAACCCCGTTTTAAAACGCTTTCATTAAAGAGCGTGGGGGGCTTTTTTTTTTTTTTTTTTTTCGGATGAAAAACAAACCGAAAAAGCCAAAACAAAACAAAACAAAAAAAAAAAAAAAAAAAAAGATTTTTCGTCGCTCCTTGCTCAGTTCATGGTATCCTCCTGCGTGGCCGGATCCAGGGTCGGCTGAGTTGTCAGCGGCTGCTCAGAAACCTGTTCAAGAAGACAGACAGAAATGAGACCATTTGTCCCCAAACTGCATCCAGGACCCGGCACCCTCCCCACCGCTGGCCCGGCTCCTACCCCCCAGCCCAGGGGAGGTCTCTGCTCCATCCTCCCGCTCCCCTCTGGGGCCAGGAGGGTTGCAGAGGGATTTATCCAACCTGGTCTTGAAAAACTCCAAGGATGGAGCCCAAAAACGCCCGCGCCGCAGGACACATGTGGGCCGGGCATGGCGATGCTTGTCGAGGAGGAGGAGACGGCAGCAACGAGCCTGTGAATCATTATTCCTCCGTGACACTCCAGACTTTTTTTTTTTTTTTTTTTTTTTTTTATTCTTAATAAAGTCATAAGCAGTCGAGTGGCTGGTGATTAGCTTGGGCAATTTAAATCCGTCTCCAATTTCTGCATTAATCTTCAATTTGGAATTTTAAAATGTCTTTATTTGATTACTTAAAAAAACCCTATAATCAGGCACAGAAACCTAATTCTTACGGGCGAGGGGAAGGACTCCGAAGGAAGCCGAGGCAGCCCAGGGTTTGGCTGGGCTCAACACCAACCGGGTGCTGGTTGTTCCCATCGATCTGGGGGGGGGTGTGTGGATCGATTCGGGGGTACCTGTTGCTCTACACGTCTCTCCCCAAAGCTGGGAGAGCTCCCGGGGGACCCGCACGGCTCCTCTGGCAGCCTCGCTCCGTTGACCCCGCGCCGGATAACGGGGCCGAGGCTCAGCACCCCCCCCGGGCACCCACATTCCCGACGCTGGGGGCTGTACCTGGATATACTGGGGGACCTACCAGCACAGCCCCCCCCCCAGCCCCATTTCACCCCAGTTTTTCAGCGTGCACTGCATTGCAGCGAAGGGGATGAAGGGGGAACCCAGCCAGTTCCTTTCTCCGCAGGTATTTTTCTCCCGGGTCTCTCTCCGAGTGACTGGACAAGAGCAGTGATAACATCATATTTCAGGTGAGGGTGCCCCGTGCCAAGACCCGGCCAGAGGGAAAAGCCACTTCCAAAATAGCTTCCTATCTGCCTCAACTTGGCAGCCCCCAGCCCTTGCTCTTGTTACAAAAAGTATGGGGGGGGGGGGAAAAAAAAAAAGCACTTTTTCTCCCCTCCCATCATCCCAAATTCACCCACAACCAGCCCTGACCAAGCTCCTCCTGCTGCCCTCCCACCCCAAAGCCCGGAGCCCCCCGGACCCTACCGAAGCCCCCCAGGAACCTTGGCCCCATCCTTTGCCTCCTCATCTGACGATGCTCCGACAACAAACAAACCCTGACAGTCTCACTCCCACACTTGTTTTTCGGGGTTCATTGAGTCGTGTGAGTCACTTAATCTTTTTCTCTGTTTTTTTGGGGGGTTAAAATTATTCATCGCGCATCACGTTTTGTTGTTTCAGTGCTGGTTTGAGCAGCCCAGAGGGAAATGGGGAGACTTTTCCCCTCCTTGACATCCACAAGCAACGGGGAGCCCGCAACAGAGACCGGAGAGATGAAGAGCAGCAAAAATCCTCTTTTTTCTCTTGTAAATCTCACCAGGAAGACTTTTTGTAAGGATGAACCATACAGGGATGGCATTTGCTGCTTGAATCATTATTCCTCAAAACCAGTGTGTGTTTCCCCTCCCAGCAGCAAATGGGAAGGACCGTCCAGCTACAAGCAGCACCGGCGCCACTGGGGATGCCGAGCTGGTGTTGGGGGGATGCACTTAGGCTGCTGCTCCCCATCCCTCTCTGGGCAACCCTGAAAACACCGGTCCAAGACCATCACCAGTCCCTGTACCTGACCAGTTTCAGAGCATCACCAGTCCCTGTATATGACCAGTTTCAGAGCATCACCGGTTCCGGAGCATCACCGATCCCAGTACATGACCAGTCCCAGAGCATCGCTGGTCCCAGAGCATCACCAGTCCCAGTACATGACCAGTTTCAGAGCATCACTGGTTCCATTACATAACCAGTTTCAGAGCATCACTGGTCCTGGAGCACCGCTGCTCGGACTGGCACCGGTGAGCAGGGGATGCAGGCAGCGGGCTGCCACAAGAGCATCCCTCGAAGGCCGGTGATTCAGGAAGAGCCAAAAGGAAAATGAGGATTTTTGTTTCATCCACAACTGGGAGCCCACGTGGGAGAGAGTCCACAGTCCTGAGGCCTGAGGCCAAGGTGAGGATTTTGCACGTGTGTGGAAAAATTGGTGGAGAAGGAACTTTGCACCAAGTTTGCTTTGCAGCTTTTCCCTTCGGACTTGCCATTTCTTTAAACTGGCTGAAAAATATTCACCTTCACCATCTTCAAAACCTCCAGCAGCAACATGAAGTAGCAACAGCTCCACATCCAGACCCAGGGCAAGATGCTAATTCTTTCCTTGTGCTGCAGCTCTTGGATAGAGAAACCCTCTGAAAAGGCAGCGGATTTACTGTCCAAACCAGAGAGGAACTATCCAGAAGCAACAATAAACACTGGAGAACAACAGGCAGTAAATTTAAACCAAGTGAAAGGAAATATATTTTAACACAATTCAGTTGTGGGACTTCTTCACAGGATGCTATTGCGGCCAAAAGCTCTGCGGCGTTCGAAAAAGAGATGGGATGTTTGTCGGGACGAGGAGAAAATCCCGGCGCTGCTCATCCCTGCCCCGAGCTTCGCACAAGCCAGTGCTTCTTGCATGGGAGCGGCAGCATTCAAACCACATTCCCCTCCCTGTGCCACAAATAAAACCCCAGTGTTTTGCTACAAATCGCCTTTTTCAACCACCGGACCACGTTCCTCCTCAAATCCCGACTCCTGGGTCCTCGGCGGGACCATCGTTCCACCCTCGGGGTTTGCTCGCGCCGCTGGATGAAGTCCCCCACAGGAAAAAGGCAATTTAACAACACATTTTTTTTCTTGTCATCGTGGGGGTAAAAGGAGCTGGCCGCGTGAGGTTCTTGATCCCTTTTCCCCTGCACAGGAAGGAAAACACTCCACCACGAGTGCAGTCCTTGGATGGGAAGAAAAGGAGGGATGGAGAAACACACGGCACTGTTTGCTGCCATCTGAACTCATCCACCAGAGGGGATTTGAAACTCCTCCCTTTTATCTTCATGTTCGCGGTGTTGGAGTTGGGGTTTTGGGGTGGGTTTATTTGTTTTTAGGTTAGGGTTTTTTTTTTTCCCCCAACCTATTTTTAAACCCAGGTATATTCACGTTTCCTGCCCAGGTGGCTGTTTCAGAAAGTCCAACCACAGGCTCGAGTTTCTGAGCGGCATCTGCAAGTGCAAGAAACCTGGAGAGACTCCCTCCCTCCTGCCCACCGCACCGGCACAGCTCGGACCCAGCCCACAAGCACCCACCCCACCCCGTGCACCCAGCCGAGCGCCTCCAGAGCTCCCTTTCCTTCACCAGCAAATTGCTCTGGTTCCCTAATTGCCCACCCTGGAGCACCGAGATCCCCCATGACCCTTCTCCATGATCAGGTGGAATATAAGCCCCCTAAACATATATATGGACAAGTACCCAGAGCACATGACTCTTAAAAGGAGTTAAACTCCTAAATAACTTTTAACATTCGGGGTCTTGAGTGTTCAATAAAATCCCCAGTCATTAAATCATCTTTTCTTCCTTCTGACAGAGCAGCTTTTTTTCTCCTTAGCCTGGTTTTCCAAGGAAACGAGGCTCACGCCGTCCCGTGGTGCACGCAGGATGAGAAGACCCCCACCCCGCGTGGCGTCTGAGCCCACGGGACCTTCCCATCCCGGCTGGGATGAGGCACCAACACCCCCAAGCCGCAACACCCCATCGAGGCGCACAAACACCGGCGGATGGGTTAAGCCCAGCCCTTCCAAGACACTAGAGAATCTCCGCAGCCCGGTAAGGCAGACTGGCTTACCCCAAAATGTGACCCGACGCCGTCCTAAACCAGGCTTGGGACAACTCAAACATCACGGGGTGTAGCCAGGCTCGGGGTCACCCCGGGCACCCGCAGCCACCCCCCCCCATCGCCGCTGCCATCCCCAGTGGTACCCGTCTCCATGGTGACCATCTCCACGCAACCACCTGAGCATCTCGGCTACTACACCTCGGCGAGGAGGAACCGCAGGGACCCCGAGGGCACCCAAGGGGACCGACAAACCTGCTGGAAAGCAAATCACAGGCTCCGCACCCAGCGAACGGCGCCGGCAAAAAGTCACCCCATCCCTCTTCAGCACCCGGAAACCTCGGGAAGGATCAGGGAAGGGGAAATTCGGCATCGCCCCGGGGATGCAGGGGGGGAGCGCTGGGATGGAGGCAGCCCATTAGCGCCCACATCCCTCCCTCCTGCCCTACACCCCCCTCGCGCGCTCGCACAAGTATGACTATCACAGCAATTAACACACATGCCAATTAACTACAAGCAGGTGCTGGTTAACTCTGTGCTGAGTAATTCATACCCGGCTCCAAGTAAATTGCTTTAAATTGGAGAGACGGGTGAGGGAGCAGAGTTAGCATTTTGCAAATGGGGGAAGAAAGAAAAAGCAAAGAGGAATCTCAGCTGGGAGATGTTTTTACAAAACAAGGAATTTGGGGGTGCTGAATCCACAGCTCCAAGAGCTGGGGAGGCAGGAGAGCCGATATCTCTTCCAAGATATTTCTGGATTTTTTACCAACTATACATATTTCTGATCTATTTTACCTATTTCTAAATGGTTTCACCTCGGCATGGCACAAGCAGCAGGGTTCTTTGCACCGCTCCATAATTTGTCACTTTTCCATTTCTACTAAATAGCCCCATATTTCTCTCTGCGTGAGTAGGGGCACTTAGAGTCTCACATCCACTTTCTACAGCCGTTTGCTATTTTTAATATACTTTTATTGCATCCCTTTTTAGTTGCCTCCTTACTAAAGTTAGCCATGACACGGCCACTCCTCTCGAAGGCGATGATATTAAGCTGTCCTTCCTTAAAACCCCACCTTGTAAAGCCTTGTGCTCTCAGCACGATGTCAGCTTAAATAAACCAAACGTTGCCTGTGCAGC